GGGGGGGGAGGGGAGACGGAGGTGAGAAAGCTGGAGGGGTTGGGTTGAACGAAAAGTGGAAGGGGTATGGAAGAGAGAACAGTTTCAGTCTGACAAGTGACCCAGCAGTTAATAAAGAATATGGCCATCGATGAGTTGATCATTAATAAAAAAAATGAAGTTGACCTACCTGACAATTAAAAGCAATAGTTTCCAACCTGACTGGAATAAATTTATCTAATATTTTATTTCAAGAAATGGCCTCAAGTGACGTATGCTGTGGTGTCAGTTTTAGCCTCACTACAGAGAAGTTCTGTTTTTCAACCAATTTTCTCAATGGTTCTCAAAATTTTCGGAATCTCTAAACCCGACTCGTAGCTCGGACATACTTGATCATCCATGGTCTAGAGGCTACCTTATTGGGCTTGTAACCAAAAGGTCATGGGTTGGAATCCCCTCAAGGGCCCGACATTGTGTCCTTAAAAAAAGCACCTTGCATAGATGTTCTTTACTTCCTCCAGGTGCGAATGGGTACCCGACTAAAGGCAGAGAAAAAGTCTTTTCTGTTTGATATAAAGTTTTAGCGCTTAACCCCTTCGCAAGCTGTACGACGTAGACTGTTTGTCATTTTTTTTCTTATACGGTCAAGAAGCCAAGAAGCTGCTGTGATGTACGGCATTCATCATGCCTTGCGTACCGTGGGGACCATGATGACGAATGTTGTTCATCATAGGTTGGTTGTATTATGCATTTCATAAAGCCAATCGCAGATTCACATTCAGCGATAATTTTTCCGTACCAAGAAATCTTTTCCTTTCAGAGATAGTTTTTAGTATTTACAAACGGGATCTAATTATAAGCACATGATCACTAAATCTAGCACTACACCTTTGTCCCTGGAGATCCAACACTGTGCTCGGTGAGGCACAAACTGACCCTGTTTCACGAAGGGGTTAATGAGCTACTTGCACTGTACACTTCCCAGAGAGCTGAGAATGTATCTGCATCCGTGGCGTAGTGGTTAAGCTCTCAGACTCGCAAACGTAAGGTCGTGGGTTCTTTGGGAAAGGCACTTTACACGAATTTTCCTCACTTCATCCAGGTGGGAATGGGTACCCAGCTATAGACAGTGAAAGATCTTGTCAGTTTGTTAGTGTTTGAGTGCTTAATCAGCTGCTTGCCTTGTATGCTTCCCAGGAAGCTGAGAATGTTTCTGAGAGTTTTATGGTATGCTGGGGTAATAATATAATGTTAAGCACATAGAACTTGCTGTTGAGCGGCGGTAAGCACTATACAAATGCTATTTATCATTATTATTTTTATGGGAGTGTTCTACGATCTGCTAGGGTAACAAAAGTTGTAAAGCACATCGAGCGCAAATGTCAGACTTGGTTGCTCAGGGGGCCAAGCTCAAATTACTCTTAATGTTGCAGGCCCAACTGGATAAATACTCACTGAGGAGTGGAAAACTAAACACTGATATTATGAATTAAAATAATAATAGATAGAATTTGAATAGCGCAAATTCCCACTCAACAGCAAGGTATATACACTTTACAATCTATAATATTACCCCAGCAGCATCCTGAAACAATCTCAACTTGCTGAGAAGCATACAGTGCAAAACGGACAAAAGTTAAGATATTAACAAAATAAGGCCTGTCAAATTTTGCTCTTGTACTAATTTGTCAGAGCTGGATGTTTGGTAACTTCTCTTTGCAACAAGTTCGTTTATGTTTATCGTAAGGCTCTGTATTATGGAAATTCTCAGGACGGACTACTTTGAATTTTCTTGCAGGTCGAATGTAATTTGTTTGCCAGTCTGGATGCGGTCTGTGGGCCTTTGGCTTGGAGCATTCTGTAGAACATGGATGTGCACCATATAAATGCAATTACAGTTTAAACTATTCAAGACGGCCACCTATTGTTCAGGAGAAAAATGACTGTCTTAGACAAGTTCAGTCCTTGGACAGAGTCAATGTTATATTTTTAGAATGCTGCGGGGGGGGGGAGGGGGGAGTGGAAAGTGGTTGTTTATACAGGTGACTACCTAGGACAGGTTGTCATTAAAGCAGGTTCAATTGTAAAATCATTATTTATCCTAGCATCACCCATACGTTCCCTCAGGTGTTTACCCAGATAGATGAGGTGATGGTCCAGCCTCTGAAGAACGCCAAAGACCGCTACGAGGAGATGAAATCCCTGGAGGAAGCGCAGAAGGAGGTGAAGATGTCTGGTTTCAAATAAAGTTGAAGTTTAATGATCTCGCATCATGATTTGATTAATGGAAGTTTGAATAATGTCACATCATGATTTGTATTCGATTTGAATTTTAGATACTGCCATATGGTGATTTTGATTCGTTGAAGTTTGAATAATGTCACATTACGATTTTGATTACATTTGAAGTTTGTTTAATGTCATATGATTTTTTTTTACAGTTGAAGTTTAAATAATGTCACATATCAACCTCAGCCCTCACCCCTTTTTTTATAAAAATAAACAACAAAACAAACTAAAATTACAAGAAATGAAAAACACCAAAAATGACCCAATGAAAGCGTGGGTAACAATTATACTACCTACTGCACATCATGCCACGGGGTCGATGCTCGGACAGCAGCATAACACTCATGAACAGCTGTTGGGTGGAACAGGAAAACTTCTCAGATGTAATGTACCGTGGAATCGGCCAAAGCTGAAATCTGGAGAAGTGCTTGATTTTCTTCGATTTAGCTGGGTTTTCATTTAGAGAGGCTGCTCAGACAGTAGACAAAAATTATTGGGAATTCGTTTTACTTTTGGTTTATTGTGTCCCCCCCCCCTCCCCCGCCCAAATAAAAAAAATCTCCCAA